GCACTCTCTCTCTGACCCCTCTGCTCTCTCTCTCTGACCCCTCTGCTCTCTCACTCTGACCCCTCTGACCCTCTCTCTCTCTCTGACCCCTCTGCACTCTCTCTCTGACCCCTCTGCTCTCTCTCTCTGACCCCTCTGCTCTCTCTCTCTGACCCCTCTGCTCTCTCTCTGACCCCTCTCTCTCTCTCTGACCCCTCTGCTCTCTCTCTCTCTGACCCCTCTGCACTCTCTCTCTGACCCCTCTGCTCTCTCTCTCTGACCCCTCTGCACTCTCTCTCTGACCCCTCTCTCTGCTCTCTCTCTCTCTGACCCCTCTGCTGCTCTCTCTCTGACCCCTCTGCACTCTCTCTCTGACCCCTCTGCTCTCTCTCTGACCCCTCTGCTCTCTCTCTCTGACCCCTCTGCACTCTCTCTCTGACCCCTCTGCTCTCTCTCTCTGACCCCTCTGCTCTCTCTCTCTGACCCCTCTGCTCTCTCTCTCTGACCCCTCTGCTCTCTCTCTCTGACCCCTCTGCACTCTCTCTCTGACCCCTCTGCTCTCTCTCTCTCTGACCCCTCTGCTCTGCCTCTCTGTCTGACCCCTCTGCTCTCTCTCTCTCTGACCCCTCTGCACTCTCTCTCTGACCCCTCTGCTCTCTCTCTCTGACCCCTCTGCTCTCTCTCTCTCTGACCCCTCTGCTCTCTCTCTCTGACCCCTCTGCTCTCTCTCTCTCTGACCCCTCTGCTCTCTCTCTGACCCCTCTGCACTCTCTCTCTGACCCCTCTGCTCTCTCTCTCTGACCCCTCTGCTCTCTCTCTGACCCCTCTGCTCTCTCTCTCTGACCCCTCTGCTCTCTCTCTGACCCCTCTGCACTCTCTCTCTGACCCCCTGCTCTCTCTCTCTGACCCCTCTGCTCTCTCCTCAGGCCCTCCTCGGTCACAGACACTCGGTCCACTCGGTCTCGTTCTGTTCCTCCTCCCTCCTGTGCTCGGGATCCCGTTGTGGTGAGGTGAGACTGTGGTCGTTGCCCAGTGCTTCCTGTGTGGGCTGTTTCCAGGCTCACTGCGGCTCCACACACGCTCTCCGCTTCATCGACGGCGGCAGGAGGCTGCTGAGCGCGGGCGCCGACCACACGGTGAATACATCATGAGTTTATTTACCATCTGCAGTAAAACCACATTGGAGTCCTCAGACAAGAACATACAAGATCATTAAAGTGCTTTGTTCAGACTGAGAACAGCTGAAAGAAGAGGTTAGCATGTTAGCATATCTGTTCTTCTCGTGTCTGTGTAGGTTCCCTCCGGGTGCTCCTGTTTCCCCTACCACTAATAACATGTACAGTGGGTGTGGCGCCCCCTGTAGGCGACCTGCCCTCTGTGCGGAGTCCCAGACTGATGCATCATTGTTAATATGATAATATTTAAATATATTTACACAAATGTAAAGATTACAGCCTTGGGCTAAACAAAGTCTCTGTGTCCTCAGCTCCAGCTCTGGTCTGCAGGACTGGGCCGCTCCGTCAGGACCCTGAGGCCTGAGCAGGTCAGTCTGCAGCACGGGAGCTACCAGGGGCTACCAGGGGCTACCAGGGGCTACCAGGATCTACCAGGGGCTACCAGGGGCTACCAGGGGCTACCAGGGGCTACCAGGATCTACCAGGGGCTACCAGGGGCTACCAGGATCTACCAGAGGCTACCAGGGGCTACCAGGGGCTACCAGGGGCTACCAGGGGCTACCAGGGGCTACCAGGATCTACCAGAGGCTACCAGGGGCTACCAGGGGCTACCAGGGGCTACCAGGGGCTACCAGGGGATACCAGGGGCCACCAGGGGCTACCAGGGGATACCAGAGGCTACCAGAGGCTACCAGGGGCTACCAGGGGCTACCAGGATCTACCAGAGGCTACCAGGGGCTACCAGGGGCTACCAGGGGCTACCAGGGGCTACCAGGGGATACCAGGGGCCACCAGGGGCTACCAGGGGCTACCAGGGGCTACCAGGGGCCACCAGGGGCTACCAGGGGCTACCAGGGGCTACCAGGGGCTACCAGGGGCTACCAGGGGCTACCAGAGGCTAGCGCCCTCTTCAAAGTAGCTCCCCAAAGGATCATATAAAGTAAATATAAATGTTATGACAGATTGTTTTATGCCATAGAAATGATCCAAAGAATTAGTGAGAAATTTTTAAAAAGATTTTCCACCGGAACAAGAGATAAATGTTTTCAATTCTACTGATGTCAGAGAGCTACTCTCTGACACTTTTTTCCCCAGTATGATAGCTCTCTGACACTTCTTTCCCCAGTAAGGTAGCTCTCTGACACATCTGTCCCCAGTATGTTAGCTCTCTGACACTTTTTTCCCCAGTATGGTAGCTCTCTGACACTTCTTTCCCCAGTAAGGTAGCTCTCTGACACATCTGTCCCCAGTATGTTAGCTCTCTGACACATTTGTCCCCAGTATGTTAGCTCTCTGACACATCTGTCCCCAGTATGTTAGCTCTCTGACACATCTGTCCCCAGTATGTTAGCTCTCTGACACATCTGTCCCCAGTGTGTTAGCTCTCTGACACATCTGTCCCCAGTGTGTTAGCTCTCTGACACATCTGTCCCCAGTATGTTAGCTCTCTGACACATCTATCCCCAGTGTGTTAGCTCTCTGACACATCTGTCCCCAGTGTGTTAGCTCTCTGACACATCTGTCCCCAGTGTGTTAGCTCTCTGACACATCTATCCCCAGTATGTTAGCTCTCTGACACATCTATCCCCAGTATGTTAGCTCTCTGACACATCTATCCCCAGTATGGTAGCTCTCTGACACATCTGTCCCCAGTGTGTTAGCTCTCTGACACATCTGTCCCCAGTATGTTAGCTCTCTGACACATCTGTCCCCAGTATGTTAGCTCTCTGACACATCTGTCCCCAGTATGTTAGCTCTCTGACACATCTGTCCCCAGTATGTTAGCTCTCTGACACATCTGTCCCCAGTATGGTAGCTCTCTGACACATCTGTCCCCAGTGTGTTAGCTCTCTGACACATCTGTCCCCAGTATGTTAGCTCTCTGACACATCTGTCCCCAGTATGTTAGCTCTCTGACACATCTGTCCCCAGTATGTTAGCTCTCTGACACATCTGTCCCCAGTATGTTAGCTCTCTGACACATCTGTCCCCAGTATGTTAGCTCTCTGACACATCTGTCCCCAGTATGTTAGCTCTCTGACACTTCTGTCCCCAGTATGTTAGCTCTCTGACACATCTGTCCCCAGTATTTTAGCTCTCTGACACATCTGTCCCCAGTATGGTAGCTCTCTGACACATCTGTCCACAGTATGTTAGCTCTCTGACACTTCTGTCCCCAGTATGTTAGTTCTCTGACACATCTGTCCCCAGTATGTTAGCTCTCTGACACATCTGTCCCCAGTATGTTAGCTCTCTGACACATCTGTCCCCAGTATGTTAGCTCTCTGACACATCTGTCCCCAGTATGTTAGCTCTCTGACACATCTGTCCCCAGTATGTTAGCTCTCTGACACATCTGTCCCCAGTATGGTAGCTCTCTGACACATCTGTCCCCAGTATGTTAGCTCTCTGACACATCTGTCCCCAGTATGGTAGCTCTCTGACACATCTGTCCCCAGTATGTTAGCTCTCTGACACTTCTGTCCCCAGTATGTTAGTTCTCTGACACATCTGTCCCCAGTATGTTAGCTCTCTGACACATCTGTCCCCAGTATGTTAGCTCTCTGACACATCTGTCCCCAGTATGTTAGCTCTCTGACACATCTGTCCCCAGTATGTTAGCTCTCTGACACATCTGTCCCCAGTATGTTAGCTCTCTGACACATCTGTCCCCAGTATGTTAGCTCTCTGACACATCTGTCCCCAGTATGTTAGCTCTCTGACACATCTGTCCCCAGTATGTTAGCTCTCTGACACATCTGTCCCCAGTATGGTAGCTCTCTGACACATCTGTCCCCAGTATGGTAGCTCTCCAGGAAACAGGTTGGAGACTTCTGCTGTCAGTGTGATGTGTTCAGTATGTGTTGTGTTGTGTGTTCAGTGTGTGTTTTTTGTCCAGTGTTGTGTGTTCAGTGTTGTATGTTCAGTATGTTTTGTGTGTTCAGTGTGTGTTGTGTGTTCAGTATGTGTTGTGTGTTCAGTGTGTGTTGTATGTTCAGTGTTGTGTGTTCAGTGTGTGTTGTGTGTTCAGTGTTGTGTGTTCAGTATGTTTTGTGTGTTCAGTGTTGTGTGTGTTGTGTGTTTAGTATGTTTTGTGTGGTCAGTGTTGTGTGTTCAGTATGTGTTGTGTGTTCAGTGTGTGTTGTGTGTTCAGTGTGTTCAGTATGCTTTGTGTGTTCAGTATGCTTTGTGTGTTCAGTATGCTGTGTTCAGTGTTGTGTGTTCAGTGTGTGTGTTGTGTGTTCAGGTCCCCTTTGAGCCCCCTCAGAAGAGGAGGAGAGCGCCCCCTGCTGACCCTGCTCTGTCTGTGTCCATCTGTGGAAACACTGCAGCTGTCGGAACATCAGGACACATCACACTGTACAGCCTGGACTCAGGTGTGTGTGTGTGTGTGTGTGCGTGTTCTGTGTGTGGGTGTGTGTGTGTGCGTGTCTGTGTGTCTGTGTGTGTGTCTGTGTGTGTGTGTTCTGTGTGTGGGTGTGTGTGTGTGCGTGTCTGTGTGTCTGTGTGTGTGTGTTCTGTGTGTGGGTGTGTGTGTGTGCGTGTCTGTGTGTCTGTGTGTGTCTGTGTCTGTGTGTCTGTGTGTGTGTGTGCGTGTCCAGAAGAACCTAGATACAAACGGTGAAGACGAGAGGGGATTGGACCATGGATCTATTTTAGGGCTGTCAAAATTATCGCGTTAACGCACATTAATTAATTTTTTTCATTAGTGGCGTTAAGAACTATTAACGCATTTGACGCATGCCCATGCGTCCCATAATAACACTCAGAATGCCGCGGACACATGTGTGTGTAAGACGGGGACAGAGCAGGTCTCTGGGAGTGACCGCGGGGCACTTGTTGTTTCCTGTATGAACTCTGCATGATGAGCCGCGGGCGCCACAGCGCTCTGGACCGTTCCCACTTCCAGCGGCTGTGGTCACGGTGAACGGCGCTGCGTAATGGGATCATATCCAAGACCACGCACAGAACTATTACAGAACTATTCTCTAGTGTGCGTACGTGTCTTTGCGTAACCGATGCACACCATATGTACAGCGCTGAAGCTGGACTGCGGAGCCTCAGTCTCCTCCGTGTCTTCTCCCGAAGTGCACTCGCTAAATTAAAGCTGAGGTACCTAATTTTCCTTTCGACCATCAGTTCATGTTAGTTGTGCAAAAAAAAGTAATGGTGTGAGAAAATGAAACCGATTTAATGACATTCTGCTTCAGACTGTTTCTAAATGTCCCTCATCTGTAACAAACAATGGTTTTGGTCTGAGTCTAAACAAAGACAGAAAGTTAATAATGTTAATTCCATTTTATATGGATTTATTGTTATAACAAACAAATACAGTACATATGTTCACTAAGCTGTCATTTATCTTTCCATTCAAACAACCATTTACAGAAAAATATGGCATAATTTTGCCAATAGTTTGAAATGTGATTAATTACGATTAATTAATTTTCAAGCTGTAATTAACTCGATTTACAAAATTAATCGTTTGACAGCCCTAATCTATTATAATAACTGGATAGAGTATTACCCATAGACTGTATATACAGTGCCTTGCGAAAGTATTCGGCCCCCTTGAACCTTTCAACATTTCGCCACATTTCAGGCTTCAAACATAAAGATATAAAATTAAAATTTTTTGTCATGAATCAACAACAAGTGGGACACAATCGTGAAGTGGAACGAAATTTATTGGATAATTTAAAACAATTTAACAAATACAAAACTGAAAAGTGGGGCGTGCAATATTATTGGGCCCCTTTACTTTCAGTGCAGCAAACTCAGTCCAGAAGTTCAGTGAGGATCTTTGAATGATCCAATGTTGTCCTAAATGACTGATGATGATAAATAGAATGCACCTGTGTGTAATCAAGTCTCCGTATAAATGCACCTGCTCTTTGATAGTCTCAGGGTTCTGTTTAAAGCACAGAGAGAACCATGAAGACAAAGGAACACACCAGGCAGGTCCGAGATACTGTTGTGGAGAAGTTTAAAGCTGGATTTGGATACAAAAAGATTTCCCAAGCTTTAAACATCTCAAGGAGCATTGTGCAAGCAATTATATTGAAATGGAAGGAGTATCAGACCACTGCAAATCTACCAAGACCCGGCTGTCCCTCCAAACTTTCATCTCAAACAAGGAGAAGACTGATCTGAGATGCAGCCAAGAGGCCCATGATCACTCTGGATGAACTGCAGATAACTACAGCTGAGGTGGGAGAGTCTGTCCATAGGACAACAATCAGTCGTGCACTGCACAAATCTGGCCTTTATGGAAGAGTGGCAAGAAGAAAGCAATTTCTCAAAGATATCCATAAAAAGTCTCGTTTAAAGTTTGCCACAAGCCACCTGGGAGACACACCAAACATGTGGAAGAAGGTGCTCTGGTCAGATGAAACCAAAATCGAACTTTTTGGCCACAATGCAAAACGATATGTTTGGCGTAAAAGCAACACAGCTCATCACCCTGAACACACCATCCCCACTGTCAAACATGGTGGTGGCAGCATCATGCTTTGGGCCTGCTTTTCTTCAGCAGGGACAGGGAAGATGGCTAAAATTGATGGGAAGATGGATGGAGCCAAATACAGGACCATTCTGGAAGAAAACCTGTTGGAGTCTGCAAAAGACCTGAGACTGGGACGGAGATTTATCTTCCAACAGGACAATGATCCAAAACATAAAGCCAAATCTACAATGGAATGGTTCACAAATAGACGTATCCAGGTGTTAGAATGGCCAAGTCAAAGTCCAGACCTGAATCCAATCGAGAATCTGTGGAAAGAGCTGAAGACTGCTGTTCACAAACGCTCTCCATCCAACCTCACTGAGCTCCAGCTGTTTTGCAAGGAAGAATGGGCAAGAATTCCAGTCTCTCGATGTGCAAAACTGATAGAGACATACCCCAAGTGACTTGCAGCTGTAATTGCAGCAAAAGGTGGCACTACAAAGTATTAGCGCAAGGGGCCGAATAATATTGCACGCCCCACTTTTCAGTTTTTATTTGTGAAAAAAGTTTAAATTATCCAATCAATTTCGTTCCACTTCACGATTGTGTCCCACTTGTTGTTGATTCTTGACAAAAAATGTAATTTTTATATCTTTATGTTTGAAGCCTGAAATGTGGCAAAATGTTGAAAGGTTCAAGGGGGCCGAATACTTTCGCAAGGCACTGTTTTAATGGACAGAGTCACGCCTATCTGCGCCGCTCTAACTAATGGGCCAAAAAATGTGCTCTACTGGAGCTATCCAAAATGGCCGCGAGTGGTCCCGCCCACAAGAAAATTGTGAAAAAACACATCTGTGCATGTGTCAGCCGGAGAGAGCTCCATTCATTTAAACGAGTGACTTCTAAAGTCCACAGCGACTAAACTAGACTGGTCCAGAACACTCAGCATTGACACACATGTGGAACGGAGCTTTGGGCCAAGAGACAACTTTAGGTCCATCCTGTAAAGACGTTTTTGAGAGGTCTGCTAACGCTATATGTTAGCATTGGCTAATTCTTCTTCTGGGTCCACCCCCACAGGCCTGGGGTGGTACTGCAGCATGTCAGCGCACCTCATTTTGGACACTTTTGAGCTGGGACCCTCCTCACTGGTATTACCATGGATCAGCCTGAGGGGGCGTGGTCAGTCTGAGGGGGCGTGGTCTGTCTGAGGGGGCGTGGTCTGCATGAGGAGGCGTGGTCTGCCTGAGGGGGCGTGGTCTGCCTGAGGGGGCGTGGTCTGCCTGAGGAGAAATGTGCCAAACAGCTTCTTCTGTCCTCGCTTTAACTAAAGAAAAATAATTTAAAGTGTTTTTTGTTGTTGTTGTAGGAGAAACCCTCTGGACGTCTGAGGACTTTCCCTTCTCTGCCCACTGTCTGCTCTGGGTCTCTGAGGACCAGGATCAGGACCAAGACCAGGACCAGAAACAAGACCAGGACCAGGATCAGGAACAGGACCAGGAACAGGACCAGGAACAGGACCAGGACCAGGAACAGGACCAGGAACAGGACCAGGATCAAAACCAGATGGAGGTTCAGAGTGAGAACCAGGGTGAGGAACAGGGTGAGGACCAGAGTGAGGACCAGAGTGAGAACCCGAAAGAGGACCAGACCCAGCCTCAGTCCAAGCCCTTGGTGCAGCTGCTGGTCTCTGGAGCGCAGGACCGGCGTGTGAGAGTCTGGAGACAACGGGATGAAGAAGAAGGACCTACGGGAGGCCTGGAGGTGGCGGCCATTTTGGATTTCCACCAGGGTCCGGTTCTGGCTTTGGCAAAAAATAACACTTACCTGGCAACCGCTTCAGGTGAGGAGAGACGGGGCTGCGTCTGAAATCATTGCAGATTATCCTATATATTTCTTCCCATGATTGTGTTTTTTAGCATAATAAAGAAGCTAGTTTAAAATCTCTAGCTTTAGCATAATAAAGAAGCTATTTTAAAATCTCTAGCTTTAGCATAATAAAGAAGCTAGTTTAAAATCTCTAGCTTTAGCATAATAAAGAAGCTAGTTTAAAATCTATAGCTTTAGCATAATAAAGAAGCTAGTTTAAAATCTCTAGCTTTAGCATAATAAAGAAGCTAGTTTAAAATCTCTCTCATAATAAAGAAGCTAGTTTAAAATCTCTAGCTTTAGCATAATAAAGAAGCTAGCCTAAAATCTCTAGCTTTAGCATAATAAAGAAACAAGTGTAAAATCTAGCTTTAGCATATCTAAGAGGTGAGTATAAATTCTGTATATTCTAGTGCAGGAATATATAGTTGTATATTTACATCTGTACATGTTAGCATGTTAGCATGTTAGCAGTGACATATACAGTGCCTTGCGAAAGTATTCGGCCCCCTTGAACCTTTCAACATTTCGCCACATTTCAGGCTTCAAACATAAAGATATAAAATTTTAATTTTTTGTCATGAATCAACAACAGGTGGGACACAATCGTGAAGTGGAACGAAATGTATTGGATAATTTAAACTTTTTTAACAAATAAAAAACTGAAAAGTGGGGCGTGCAATATTATTGGGCCCCTTTACTTTCAGTGCAGCAAACTCAGTCCAGAAGTTCAGTGAGGATCTTTGAATGATCCAATGTTGTCCTAAATGACTGATGATGATAAATAGAATGCACCTGTGTGTAATCAAGTCTCCGTATAAATGCACCTGCTCTTTGATAGTCTCAGGGTTCTGTTTAAAGCACAGAGAGAACCATGAAGACAAAGGAACACACCAGGCAGGTCCGAGATACTGTTGTGGAGAAGTTTAAAGCCGGATTTGGATACAAAAAGATTTCCCAAGCTTTAAACATCTCACGGAGCACTGTGCAAGCAATTATATTGAAATGGAAGGAGTATCAGACCACTGCAAATCTACCAAGACCCGGCCGTCCCTCCAAACTTTCATCTCAAACAAGGAGAAGACTGATCAGAGATGCAGCCAAGAGGCCCATGATCACTCTGGATGAACTGCAGATAACTACAGCTGAGGTGGGGATGGTGTGTTCAGGGTGATGAGCTGTGTTGCTTTTACTCCAAACAAATCGTTTTGCATTGTGGCCAAAAAGTTAGATTTTGGTTTCATCTGACCAGAGCACCTTCTTCCACATGTTTGGTGTGTCTCCCAGGTGGCTTGTGGCAAACTTTAAACCAGACTTTTTATGGATATCTTTGAGAAATGGCTTTCTTCTTGCCACTCTTCCATAAAGGCCAGATTTGTGCAGTGCACGACTGATTGTTGTCCTATGGACAGACTCTCCCACCTCAGCTGTAGTTATCTGCAGTTCATCCAGAGTGATCATGGGCCTCTTGGCTGCATCTCTGATCAGTCTTCTCCTTGTTTGAGATGAAAGTTTGGAGGGACGGCCGGGTCTTGGTAGATTTGCAGTGGTCTGATACTCCTTCCATTTCAATATAATTGCTTGCACAGTGCTCCTTGAGATGTTTAAAGCTTGGGAAATCTTTTTGTATCCAAATCCGGCTTTAAACTTCTCCACAACAGTATCTCGGACCTGCCTGGTGTGTTCCTTTGTGTTCATGGTTCTCTCTGTGCTTCAAACAGAACCCTGAGACTATCAAAGAGCAGGTGCATTTATACGGAGACTTGATTACACACAGGTGCATTCTATTTATCATCATCAGTCATTTAGGACAACATTGGATCATTCAAAGATCCTCACTGAACTTCTGGACTGAGTTTGCTGCACTGAAAGTAAAGGGGCCCAATAATATTGCACGCCCCACTTTTCAGTTTTTTATTTGTTAAAAAAGTTTAAATTATCCAATAAATTTCGTTCCACTTCACGATTGTGTCCCACCTGTTGTTGATTCATGACAAAAAAAATAAATTTTATATCTTTATGTTTGAAGACTGAAATGTGGCGAAAGGTTCAAGGGGGCCAAATACTTTCGCAAGGCACTGTATATTGCACATTCTGACATCATTGGTCTGTGTCTCCTGTAGATGACGGCAGCGTGGCCTTGTGGCTCCTCTCTGACCTCCTCCTCTCTGCACCTCCTCACTCTGCACCTCCTCACTCTGCACCTCCTCACTCTGCACCTCCTCACTCTGTGCTCCGAGCTCACAGTCGAGGAGTCTCCTGCCTCAGCTTCAGCCCAAAGGGAGACCAGCTGCTGTCCGGAGGGAAAGACCAGGTCTGTCCTGAGACTGTGACATCACCACAGTGTGACATCACCACAGTGTGACATCACCACAGTGTTAGCCTTAAAACAGAAGAGGCCTTTGTGAACATAAGTTGGAGCCAGATTCCTTATATGGGCATTTGTTCTGATGGCGTTAGCTTCATACTGTAACCGGGGCAGACGTGTTGCTAGGACGGTTGCTAAGAGAAACTGAATGAAGGCCTCTCATTGGTCAATCCTTATTTTCTTTGAAAATCCAGATATGAGCCATATATCACGATATAAACATCAGGATCAGAGAGAGCCATAAACCGCAGATTTAAGACCAAAATGGGAATTGTTAATAAACGGCTGTAGACCCAGGACTGAGGCTGTAGACCCAGGACTGAGGCTGCAGACCCAGGACTGAGGCTGTAGACCCAGGACTGAGGCTGTAGACCCAGGACTGAGGCTGCAGACCCAGGACTGAGGCTGTAGACCCAGGACTGAGGCTGTAGACCCAGGACTGAGGCTGTAGACCCAGGACTGAGGCTGTAGACCCAGGACTGAGACTGTAGACCCAGGACTGAGGCTGTAGACCCAGGACTGAGACTGTAGACCCAGGACTGAGGCTGCAGACCCAGGACTGAGGCTGTAGACCCAGGACTGAGGCTCCTGGACGTGGATGAGGAGGTCCACAGCAGGAGCTTGGTTCCAGTCTTTCTGGGTCTCATTCCGGTTCTGTGTGATTCTCTCCTCAGGCCTTGATATTATGGGATGTGGGCGAGACTCCGGTTCTGTCCAAGTCTCTTCTTCACTGTCACAGAGACTGGATCACGGGCGTGGCCTGGACCCAGGACTGCGTGGTGAGTGCACGTCACATGTCTGTCGTTACTGGATGAATAACGACATTAGTATTTAGAGAGTACTGCCATATTTGGGCCACAATTCAGTATACGGGGATCAAGAGTCCCGAGATTCCGGCTCGACCGCACGGCATTGTGGGTAGTTTTCTAAAAAAAAAGTGGGCACCAAATCACGCTCTCCTATCAGATTACCTGTCGTGAGCGTGATCTCTCTTGTTTCCAGCCCATCGATGGTTTTAATCGCTACAAAAATGACCAATATCAGACATTTAGAAGGTTAGGTAAAGATTTTTCCATGTAACAAAAAAAGCAATGCATTATTTCCTTGTAGTTTTAGACGTAAACACAACAGACTGACTAGAGCTACTACTCTACTGCACCTCTCTCTACTGCACCTCTCTCTACTGCACACCTCTCTCTACCGCACCTCTCTCTACTGCACCTCTCTCTACTGCACACCTCTCTCTACTGCACCTCTCTCTACTGCACACCTCTCTCTACTGCACCTCTCTCTACTGCACACCTCTCTACTGCACCTCTCTATACTGCACACCTCTCTATACTGCACACCTCTCTATACTGCACACCTCTCTATACTGCACCTCTCTATACTGCACAGACCTCTCTATACTGCACCTCTCTATACTGCACCTCTCTCTACTGCACCTCTCTCTACTGCACCTCTCTCTACTGCACACCTCTCTCTACTGCACCTCTCTCTACTGCACCTCTATACTGCACACCTCTCTCTACTGCACCTCTCTCTACTGCACACCTCTCTCTACTGCACCTCTCTCTACTGCACACCTCTCTCTACTGCACCTCTCATGCTGCACCTCTCTATACTGCACCTCTCTATACTGCACACGTCTCTATACTTCACCTCTCTCTACTGCACCTCTCTATACTGCACACCTCTCTGTACTGCACACCTCTCTGTACTGCACACCTCTCTGTACTGCACACCCTCTGACTGCACACCCTCATACTGCACACCTCTTATACTGCACACCTCTCTACTGCACACCTCTCTGTACTGCACACCTCTCTCTACTGCACCTCTCTCTACTGCACCTCTCTATACTGCACCTCTCTATACTGCACCTCTCTCTACTGCACCTCTCTATACTGCACCTCTCTCTATACTGCACCTCTCTCTATACTGCACACCTCTCTACTGCACACCTCTCTATACTGCACCTCTCTATACTGCACCTCTCTATACTGCACACCTCTCTCTACTGCACCTCTCTCTACTGCACCTCTCTCTACTGCACCTCTCTCTATACTGCACCTCTCTCTACTGCACCTCTCTGTACTGCACACCTCTCTGTACTGCACACCTCTATGTACTGCACACCTCTCTCTACTGCACACCTCTCTCTACTGCACCTCTCTCTACTGCACCTCTCTCTATACTGCACCTCTCTCTACTGCACCTCTCTGTACTGCACACCTCTCTGTACTGCACACCTCTCTGTACTGCACACCTCTCTCTACTGCACCTCTCTCTACTGCACCTCTCTGTACTGCACACCTCTCTGTACTGCACACCTCTCTATACTGCACACCTCTCTATACTGCACCTCTCTATACTGCACACACCTCTCTTTACTGCACACCTCTCTATACTGCACCTCTCTATACTGCACACCTCTCTCTACTGCACCTCTCTATACTGCACACCTCTCTCTACTGCACCTCTCTATACTGCACACCTCTCTGTACTGCACACCTCTCTATACTGCACACCTCTCTGTACTGCACACCTCTCTCTACTGCACCTCTCTCTACTGCACACCTCTCTATACTGCACCTCTCTATACTGCACCTCTCTATACTGCACACCTCTCTATACTGCACCTCTCTATACTGCACACCTCTCTCTACTGCATCTCTCTCTACTGCACACCTCTCTACTGCACCTCTCTATACTGCACACCTCTCTATACTGCACACCTCTCTATACTGCACACCTCTCTATACTGCACACCTCTCTATACTGCACACCTCTTTATACTACACCTCTCTATACTGCACCTCTCTCTACTGCACCTCTCTCTACTGCACCTCTCTCTACTGCACACCTCTCTGTACTGCACACCTCTCTGTACTGCACACCTCTCTCTACTGCACCTCTCTCTACTGCACCTCTCTCTACTGCACCTCTCTCTATACTGCACCTCTCTCTACTGCACCTCTCTGTACTGCACACCTCTCTGTACTGCACACCTCTCTGTACTGCACACCTCTCTCTACTGCACCTCTCTCTACTGCACCTCTCTGTACTGCACACCTCTCTGTACTGCACACCTCTCTATACTGCACACCTCTCTATACTGCACCTCTCTATACTGCACACCTCTCTTTACTGCACACCTCTCTATACTGCACCTCTCTATACTGCACACCTCTCTCTACTGCACCTCTCTATACTGCACACCTCTCTCTACTGCACCTCTCTATACTGCACACCTCTCTGTACTGCACACCTCTCTATACTGCACACCTCTCTGTACTGCACACCTCTCTCTACTGCACCTCTCTCTACTGCACACCTCTCTATACTGCACCTCTCTATACTGCACCTCTCTATACTGCACACACCTCTCTATACTGCACACCTCTCTCTACTGCACACCTCTCTATACTGCACACCTCTCTATACTGCACCTCTCTATACTGCACACCTCTCTACTGCACCTCTCTCTACTGCACACCTCTCTATACTGCACCTCTCTATACTGCACCTCTCTCTACTGCACACCTCTCTCTACTGCACCTCTCTATACTGCACACCTCTCTCTACTGCACCTCTCTCTACTGCACACCTCTCTATACTGCACACCTCTCTGTACTGCACACCTCTCTATACTGCACACCTCTCTGTACTGCACACCTCTCTGTACTGCACACCTCTCTGTACTGCACACCTCTCTGTACTGCACACCTCTCTATACTGCACCTCTCTCTACTGCACCTCTCTATACCGCACACCTCTCTATACTGCACACCTCTATACTGCACCTCTCTCTACTGCACACACCTCTCTCTACTGCACACCTCTCTATACTGCACACCTCTATACTGCACCTCTCTATACTGCACCTCTCTATACTGCACACCTCTCTATACTGCACCTCTCTCTACTGCACCTCTCTATACTGCACCTCTCTATACTGCACACACCTCTCTCTACTGCACACCTCTCTATACTGCACCTCTCTATACTGCACACCTCTCTATACTGCACACCTCTATACTGCACCTCTCTATACTGCACCTCTCTCTACTGCACACACCTCTCTCTACTGCACACCTCTCTGTACTGCACACACCTCTCTATACTACACCTCTCTGTACTGCACACACCTCTCTGTACTGCACCTCTCTGTACAGCTGTGGGTAAGTTTATAAAGCTCGTGTAAGTATTTGATCCTGACGATAGCAGCTTATGCTACTAACGAGGATGTGTTTAAAACTAAAACCACAAGAATAAAAATTCATTGCTTTTTTTGTTACATGAAAAAATCTTAACTTTCTAAATGTCTGATATTTGGTCATTTTTGTAGCGATTAAAACAATTGATGGGCTGGAAACAAGAGAGATCACGCTCACGACAGGTAATGGGGGTTGGCGAGCTCCTGGATGGAGCTACCTGAAAGGGGGTTGGCGAGCTCCTGGATGAAGCTACCTGAAAGGGGGTTGGTGAGCTCCTGGATGGAGCTACCTGAAAGGGGGTTGGTGAGCTCCTGGATGGAGCTACCTGAAAGGAGGTTGGCGAGCTCCTGGATGGAGCTACCTGAAAGGGGGTTGGCGAGCTCCTGGATGGAGCTACCTGAAAGGGGGTTGGTGAGCTCCTGGATGGAGCTACCTGAAAGGAGGTTGGCGAGCTCCTGGATGGAGCTACCTGAAAGGAGGTTGGCGAGCTACTGGATAGTGCTGCTACCAGAGCTCTCCAGCAGGGGGCTCTATATGCAGCACTAACAATCTGTGTTTTTAAAGTGGAATTTCTCACCCGAGTCTGGCCCGAGTCTGGCCCGAGTCTGGCCCGAGTCTGGCCCGAGTCTGGCCCGAGTCTGGCCCGAGTCTGGCCCGAGTCTGGCCCGAGTCTGGCCCGAGTCTAACCCGAGTCTAACCCGAGTCTAACCCGAGTCTAACCCGAGTCTAACCCGAGTCTAACCCGAGTCTGGCCCGAGTCTGGCCCGAGTCTGGCCCGAGTCTGGCCCGAGTCTGGCCCGAGTCTGGCCCGAGTCTGGCCCGAGTCTGGCCCGAGTCTGGCCCGAGTGCTTCCGTGTGCTGAAGTAAATGACATAAACAGTTTCTAAAGCACTTGTCCTTGTTTCCAGGTGAGCTCCTCAAACGACGGCAGACTTTGTTTTTGGGATTTAGAGTCTGGGAAAAGTCTGAAGGAATTCTGCTGGACCAGTCCCCTGACCTCCGTCTGTGCTCAGGTCAGTTCTCTCTCTGCTTCTCTTCTGCTACGACTTATATATATATATATATATGTATATTATATATATATATATAAGCGGGCCTCCGTCTGGGGCCCGATCCGTCGGGGGTCCGCTCCGTCGGGGTCCGCTCCGTCGGGGTCCGCTCCGTCGGGGTCCGCTCCGTCGGGGTCCGCTCCGTCGGGGTCCGCTCCGTCGGGGTCCGCTCCGTCGGGGCCCGCTCCGTCGGGGCCCGCTCCGTCGGGGTCCGCTCCGTCGGGGGCCGCTCCGTCGGGGGCCGCTCCGTCGGGGGCCGCTCCGTCGGGGTCCGCTCCGTCGGGGCCCGCTCCGTCGGGGTCCGCTCCGTCGGGGGCCGCTCCGTCGGGGGCCGCTCCGTCGGGGGCCGCTCCGTCAGGGCCGGCTCCGTTGGGGTCCGCTCTGTCTGGGTCCGCCCCGTCGGGGTCCGCTTCGTCTGGGTCCGCTCCGTCGGGGCCCGCTCCGTCGGGGTCCGCTCCGTCGGGGGCCGCTCCGTCGGGGGCCGCTCCGTCGGGGGCCGCTCCGTCAGGGCCGGCTCCGTTGGGGTCCGCTCTGTCTGGGTCCGCCCCGTCGGGGTCCGCTTCGTCTGGGTCCGCTCTGTCTGGGTCCGCTCTGTCTGGGTCCGCTCTGTCTGGGTCCGCTCCGTCGGGGGCCGCTCCGTCAGGGCCGGCTCCGTTGGGGTCCGCTCTGTCTGGGTCCGCCCCGTCGGGGTCCGCTTCGTCTGGGTCCGCTCTGTCTGGGTCCGCTCTGTCTGGGTCCGCCCCGTCGGGGTCCGCTTCGTCTGGGTCCGCTCTGTCTGGGTCCGCTCCGTCGGGGTCCGCTCTGTCAGGGACCTCTGTCTGGGTCCGCTCTGTCTGGGTCCGCTCTGTCTGGGTCCGCCCCGTCGGGGTCCGCTTCGTCTGGGTCCGCCCCGTCTGGGTCCGCCCCGTCTGGGTCCGCTCTATCTGGGTCCGCTCTGTCGGGGTCCGCTTCGTCGGGGTCCGCTTCGTCTGGGTCCGCCCCGTCTGGGTCCGCCCCGTCTGGGTCCGCCCCGTCTGGGTCCGCTCTATCTGGGTCCGCTCTGTCTGGGTCCGCAGTGTAAGGGATGAGTTTAAGAATTGGATTCAACCACCAAATGTAACGAGTAGCGGGTGGCGAGAAATGTGAACCATGGAGTCCCGGGCAGAACCATGGAGTCCCGGACAGAACCATGGAGTCCCGGGAAGAACCATGGAGTCCCGGACAGAACCATGGAGTCCCGGGCAGAACCATGGAGTCCCGGGCAGAACCATGGAGTCCCGGACAGAACCATGGAGTCCCGGGAAGAACCATGGAGTCCCGGACAGAACCATGGAGTCCCGGGCAGAACCATGGAGTCCCGGGCAGAACCATGGAGTCCCGGACAGAACCATGGAGTCCCGGACAGAACCATGGAGTCCCGGGAAGAACCATGGAGTCCCGGGCTGAACCATGGAGTCCCGGACAGAACCATGGAGTCCCGGACAGAACCATGGAGTCCCGGACAGAACCATGGAGTCCCGGACAGAACCATGGAGTCCCGGGCGGAACCATGGAGTCCCGGGCGGAACCATGGAGTCCCGGGCGGAACCATGGAGTCCCGGGCGGAACCATGGAGTCCCGGACAGAACCATGGAGTCCCGGACAGAACCATGGAGTCCCGGACAGAACCATGGAGTCCCGGACAGAACCATGGAGTCCCGGGCGGAACCATGGAGTCCCGGGCGGAACCATGGAGTCCCGGACAGAACCATGGAGTCCCGGACAGAACCATGGAGTCCCGGACAGAACCATGGAGTCCCGGACAGAACCATGGAGTCCCGGACAGAACCATGGAGTCCCGGACAGAACCATGGAGTCCCGGGCAGAACCATGGAGTCCCGGGCAGAACCATGGAGTCCCGGACAGAACCATGGAGTCCCGGGCAGAACCATGGAGTCCCGGGCAGAACCATGGAGTCCCGGACAGAACCATCTCCTGTGTCTCTTGCGAAGCGCAAAACTCCTGAATTTAAAGCTCGGATACCTACATTTTCCCCATGCATTAAAAATGCATGTTATTTGTGCAAAAAGTAAAATGTTGTGAACAAATCAAACACACAGCAGGGCATTTAATCATTATTGTTCACACATAAGAGCCCTCTGAGTCATTATTTGACTTTTTGGGCTGAGAGTGGATTTTTGTATGTTTTTTCCCACAGTTAGTGCCACTTTATTCCCAAACTCTTGTGAACTCATTGTATTGAGCGATATTAAACCAAGATTAATGTCAAGGCCTGATTACTTTGATAAGAATGACTTTATTGTAAATACAGGATACAGAGGATATATTTTTACATTTTCTCCTGGTTCTGTTCCAAAAGAGTTTCTCAATGAAAAAAGTGCCTTGGCTCAAAAAAGGTTGAAAAACACTGATTTACATGATATCATTAGAGCTCTCTCTGGTCTCTCTCTGGTCTCTCTCTGGTCTCTCTCTGGTCTCTCTCTGGTCTCACTCTAGTCTCTCTCTGGTCTGTCTCTGGTCTCTCTCTGGTCTCTCTCTGGTCTCTCTCTGGTCTCTCTCTCTGGGGTCTCTCTCTCTGGTCTCTCTCTGGTCTCTCTCTGGTCTCTCTCTGGTCTCTCTCTGGTCTCTCTCTGGTCTCACTCTGGGCTCACTCTGGTCTCTCTCTGGTCTCTCTCTGGTCTCACTCTGGTCTCTCTCTGGTCTCACTCTGGTCTCTCTCTGGTCTCTCTCTGGTCTCACTCTGGGCTCACTCTGGTCTCACTCTGGTCTCTCTCTGGTCTCTCTCTGGTCTCTCTCTGGTCTCTCTCTGGTCTCACTCTAGTCTCTCTCTGGTCTCTCTCTGGTCTCTCTCTGGTCTCTCTATGGTCTCTCTCTGGTCTCTCTCTGGTCTCTCTATGGTCTCTCTCTGGTCTCACTCTGGTCTCCCTCTGGTCTCTCTCTGGTCTCTCTCTGGTCTCACTCTGGTCTCCCTCTGGTCTCTCTCTGGTCTCTCTGGTCTCCCTCTGGTCTCTCTATGGTTTCTCTCTGGTCTCCCTCTGGTCTTTCTCTGGTCTCACTCTGGTCTCTCTCTGGTCTCACTCTGGTCTCACTCTGGTCTCACTCTGGTCTCTCTCTGGTCTCTCTCTGGTCTCTCTCTGGTCTCTCTCTGGTCTCTCTCTGGTCTCCCTCTGGTCTCACTCTGGTCTCTCTCCAGGGTGTGTATGTCACTGCCTCCTGCTCTGATGGAGGACTCCACGTCTGGAACTGGGACTCTGCTGTAGAAGTCTGTCACATCTGTGCTCATCAGGAGACCATCCACACCTGTGCTCTGCTCACAGGTACACACACACACACACACACACACAGATACACACACACACACACACACATACAGATACACACACACACACACACACATACAGATACACACACACACACACACATACAGATACAGATACACACACACACACACACATACAGATACACACACACACATACAGACACACATAGACACACACAGACACAGACACACACACACACATACAGATACAGACACACACACACATACAGACACACACAATCATAGATGTACCTGTGCTCACAGATGGGAAAGACTCTGACCCTGAGGACCTCACTGTGGTCACGGCTTCAGACGACGGAACTGTGAGAGTCTGGAACCCACTGCAGGTCTGTCCCTGTGCTCTCTGAAACATACTCTACTGTCCCTGTGCTCGCTGAAACATACTCTAGTGTCCCTGTGCTCACTGAAACATACTCTACTGTCCCTGTGCTCCCTGAAACACTGTCCCTGTGCTCGCTGAAACATACTCTACTGTCCCTGTGCTCCCTGAAACATACTCTACTGTCCCTGTGCTCCCTGAAACATACTCTACTGTCCCTGTGCTCCCTGAAACATACTCTACTGTCCCTGTGCTCGCTGAAACATACTCTACTGTCCCTGTGCTCGCTGAAACATACTCTACTGTCCCTGTGCTCCCTGAAACATACTCTACTGTCCCTGTGCTCGCTGAAACATACTCTACTGTCCCTGTGCTCCCTGAAACATACTGTACTATCCCTGTGCTCCCTGAAACATACTCTACTCTCCCTGTGCTCCCTGAAACATACACTACTGTCCCTGTGCTCACTGAAACATACTCTACTGTCCCTGTGCTCACTGAAACATACTCTACTGTCCCTGTGCTCCCTGAAACATACTCTACTGTCCCTGTGCTCCCTGAAACATACTCTACTGTCCCTGTGCTCGCTGAAACATACTCTACTGTCCCTGTGCTCGCTGAAACATACTCTACTCTACTGTCCCTGTGCTCGCTGAAACATACTCTACTGTCCCTGTGCTCCCTAAAACATACTCTACTGTCCCTGTGCTCGCTGAAACATACTCTACTGTCCCTGTGCTCCCTAAAACATATTCTACTGTCCCTGTGCTCCCCGAAACATACTCTACTGTCCCTGTGCTCGCTGAAACATACTCTAGTGTCCCTGTGCTCACTGAAACATACTCTACTGTCCCTGTGCTCCCTGAAACACTGTCCCTGTGCTTGCTGAAACATACTCTACCGTCCCTGTGCTCCCTGAAACATACTCTACTGTCCCTGTGCTTGCTGAAACATACTCTACTGTCCCTGTGCTCCCTGAAACATACTGTACTATCCCTGTGCTCCCTGAAACATACTCTACTCTACTGTCCCTGTGCTCCCTGAAACATACACTACTGTCCCTGTGCTCACTGAAACATACTCTACTGTCCCTGTGCTCACTGAAACATACTCTACTGTCCCTGTGCTCCCTGAAACATACTGTACTATCCCTGTGCTCCCTGAAACATACTCTACTCTACTGTCCCTGTGCTCCCTGAAACATACACTACTGTCCCTGTGCTCCCTGAAACATACTCTACTGTCCCTGTGCTCCCTGAAACATACTCTACTGTCCCTGTGCTCCCTGAAACATACTCTACTGTCCCTGTGCTCGCTGAAACATACTCTAGTGTCCCTGTGCTCCCTGAAACATACTCTACTGTCTCTGTGCTCCCTGAAACATACTCTACTGTCCCTGTGCTCGCTGAAACATACTCTAGTGTCCCTGTGCTCCCTGAAACATACTCTACTGTCCCTGTGCTCCCTGAAACATACTCTACTGTCCCTGTGCTCGCTGAAACATACTCTAGTGTCCCTGTGCTCCCTGAAACATACTCTACTGTCCCTGTGCTCCCTGAAACATACTCTACTGTCCCTGTGCTCCCTGAAACATACTCTACTGTCCCTGTGCTCCCTGAAACATACTCTACTGTCCCTGTGCCCCCTGAAACATACTCTACTGTCCCTGTGCTCGCTGAAACATACTCTAGTGTCCCTGTGCTCCCTGAAACATACTCTACTGTCCCTGTGCTTGCTGAAACATACTCTACTCTCCCTGTGCTCGCTGAAACATACTCTACTGTCCCTGTGCTCACTGAAACATACTTTACTGTCCCTGTGCTCACTGAAACATACTCTACTGTCCCTGTGCTCACTGAAACATACTCTACTGTCCCTGTGCTCCCTGAAACACTGTCCCTGTGCTCGCTGAAATATACTCTACCGTCCCTGTGCTCGCTGAAACATTCTCTACTGTCCCTGTGCTCACTGAAACATACTCTACTCTACTGTCCCTGTGCTCCCTGAAACATACTCTACTCTACTGTCCCTGTGCTCCTTGAAACATACTCTACTGTCCCTGTGCTCCTTGAAACATACTCTACTGTCCCTGTGCTCGCTGAAACATACTCTACTGTCCCTGTGCTCGCTGAAACATACTCTACTGTCCCTGTGCTCGCTGAAACATACTCTACTCTACTGTCCCTGTGCTCGCTGAAACATACTCTACTGTCCCTGTGCTCCCTGAAACATATTCTACTGTCCCTGTGCTCCCTGAAACATACTCTGTCCCTCTGCTCGCTGAAACATACTCTACTGTCCCTGTGCTTGCTGAAACATACTCTACTGTCCCTGTGCTCCCTGAAACATACTCTACTGTCCCTGTGCTCCCTGAAACATACTCTACTGTCCCTGTGCTCCCTGAAACATACTCTACTGTCCCTGTGCTCCCTGAAACATAGTCTACTGTCCCTGTGCTCCCTGAAACATACCCTTACTGTCCCTGTGCTCCCTAAAACATACTCTACTGTCCCTGTGCTCGCTGAAACATACTCTACTGTCCCTGTGCTTGCTGAAACATACTCTACTCTCCCTGTGCTTGCTGAAACATACTCTACTCTCCCTGTGCTCACTGAAACATACTTTACTGTCCCTGTGCTCACTGAAACATACTCTACTGTCCCTGTGCTCACTGAAACATACTCTACTGTCCCTGTGATCGCTGAAACACTGTCCCTGTGCTCGCTGAAATATACTCTACCGTCCCTGTGCTCCCTGAAACATACTCTACTGTCCCTGTGCTCGCTGAAACATACTCTACTGTCCCTGTGCTCGCTGAAACATACTCTACTGTCCCTGTGCTCCTTGAAACATACTCTACTGTCCCTGTGCTCCCTGAAACATACTCTACTCTACTGTCCCTGTGCTCCCTGAAACATACTCTACTGTCCCTGTGCTCCTTGAAACATACTCTACTGTCCCTGTGCTCCTTGAAACATACTCTACTGTCCCTGTGCTCCTTGAAACATACTCTACTGTCCCTGTGCTCCTTGAAACATACTCTACTGTCCCTGTGCTCCTTGAAACATACTCTACTGTCCCTGTGCTCGCTGAAACATACTCTACTGTCCCTGTGCTCGCTGAAACATACTCTACTCTACTGTCCCTGTGCTCGCTGAAACATACTCTACTGTCCCTGTGGTCACTGAAACATATTTTACTGTCCCTGTGCTCGCTGAAACATACTCTACTCTACTGTCCCTGTGCTCGCTGAAACATACTCTACTGTCCCTGTGGTCACTGAAACATACTCTACTGTCCCTGTGCCCCCTGAAACATATTTTACTGTCCCTGTGCTCCCTGAAACATACTCTACTGTCCGTCTGCTCGCTGAAACATACTCTACTGTCCCTGTGCTCCCTGAAACATACTCTACTGTCCCTCTGCTCGCTGAAACATACTCTAATGTCCTTGTGCTCGCTGAAACATACTCTACTGTCCCTGTGCTCGCTGAAACATACTCTACTGTCCCTGTGCTCGCTGAAACATACTCTACTGTCCCTGTGCTCGCTGAAACATACTCTACTGTCCCTGTGCTCGCTGAAACATACTCTACTGTCCCTGTGCTCCCTGAAACATACTCTACTGTCCCTGTGCTCCCTGAAACATACTCTACTCTACTGTCCCTGTGCTCCCTGAAACATACTCTACTGTCCCTGTGCTCCTTGAAACATACTCTACTGTCCCTGTGCTCCTTGAAACATACTCTACTGTCCCTGTGCTCCTTGAAACATACTCTACTGTCCCTGTGCTCGCTGAAACATACTCTACTCTACTGTCCCTGTGCTCGCTGAAACATACTCTACTCTACCGTCCCTGTGCTCCCTGAAACATACTCTACTGTCCCTGTGCTCCTTGAAACATACTCTACTGTCCCTGTGCTCCTTGAAACATACTCTACTGTCCCTGTGCTCGCTGAAACATACTCTACTGTCCCTGTGCTCGCTGAAACATACTCTACTCTACTGTCCCTGTGCTCGCTGAAACATACTCTACTGTCCCTGTGGTCACTGAAACATATTTTACTGTCCCTGTGCTCCCTGAAACATACTCTACTGTCCCTGTGCTCGCTGAAACATACTCTACTCTACTGTCCCTGTGCTCACTGAAACATACTCTACTGTCCCTGTGCCCCCTGAAACATATTTTACTGTCCCTGTGCTCCCTGAAACATACTCTACTGTCCGTCTGCTCGCTGAAACATACTCTACTGTCCCTGTGCTCCCTGAAACATACTCTACTGTCCCTCTGCTCGCTGAAACATACTCTAATGTCCTTGTGCTCGCTGAAACATACTCTACTGTCCCTGTGCTCGCTGAAACATACTCTACTGTCCCTGTGCTCGCTGAAACATACTCTACTGTCCCTGTGCTCGCTGAAACATACTCTACTGTCCCTGTGCTCCCTGAAACATACTCTACTGTCCCTGTGCTCCCTGAAACATACTCTACTCTACTGTCCCTGTGCTCCCTGAAACATACTCTACTGTCCCTGTGCTCCCTGAAACATACTCTACTGTCCCTGTGCTCCTTGAAACATACTCTACTGTCCCTGTGCTCCTTGAAACATACTCTACTGTCCCTGTGCTCCTTGAAACATACTCTACTGTCCCTGTGCTCGCTGAAACATACTCTACTCTACTGTCCCTGTGCTCGCTGAAACATACTCTACTCTACCGTCCCTGTGCTCCCTGAAACATACTCTACTGTCCCTGTGCTCCTTGAAACATACTCTACTGTCCCTGTGCTCCTTGAAACATACTCTACTGTCCCTGTGCTCGCTGAAACATACTCTACTGTCCCTGTGCTCGCTGAAACATACTCTACTCTACTGTCCGTGTGCTCGCTGAAACATACTCTACTGTCCCTGTGGTCACTGAAACATATTTTACTGTCCCTGTGCTCCCTGAAACATACTCTACTGTCCCTGTGCTCACTGAAACATACTCTACTGTCCCTGTGCCCCCTGAAACATATTTTACTGTCCCTGTGCTCCCTGAAACATACTCTACTGTCCCTCTGCTCGCTGAAACATACTCTACTGTCCCTGTGCTCCCTGAAACATACTCTACTGTCCCTCTGCTCGCTCAAACATACTCTAATGTCCTTGTGCTCGCTGAAACATACTCTACTGTCCCTGTGCTCGCTGAAACATACTCTACTGTCCCTGTGCTCGCTGAAACATACTCTACTGTCCCTGTGCTCCCTGAAACATACT